TTTGTTTGTTTGTTTGTTTGTTGAGACAGTCTCAAGCTGTCACCCTAAATAGAGTGCTGTAGCATCATAGCTCACAGCAACCTCCAACTCTTGGCATCAGGTGATCCTCTTGCCTCAGAGGGGGAGTCTTGCTTTTGCTCAGGCTGGTCTCAAACTTGAGAACTCATGCATTCCACCTGCCTCTGCCTCCTGGAGTGCTAGGATTACAGGTATGAGCTACTGCACCCAGCCTGGGACCTAGGTTTACATACGCTAAGCTTAGATAGGTCAGAGAGAAGCCAGGAAGAAATTCAGAGCTTTTAATTTTAATATTTAATGCATAATTAATACCTAAACTGAAATCTTATGTGTACTATTCAATTTTTTAAAAGTTTGAGTGCTTCATATATGCCCAACATTGTGCTAGATAATAGGTTTATAATAAAGGAATGTGTTCATAGTGTATTAGCAAAAGATCACAATTAGCTTTTTAAATTTTAATGTAGTTTTATTTCTAGAATTTTCAGAATAAATATATTCCCTATATGTCATTTGAATGCTTCTTTATTTTAAATTATAGTATTAATGATAGCATTAAGATACTTCCTTATGATACTTTAAAAAAAAATCTTACAGCCCAAAAGAAAATGAAGATGGCACCTCTGAAAAAGATGAAAATGTTTTATCCTCGTCTTTGAAGCACTTAGAGTTAGTAGAAGAGAAGAATCTTGACGTGACCAAAGAAACCATGTTACCTGAGAATGTTACTTGTCTGCCTAATGCAGTTTTAAACAAAGAAAGAAAAGAAATAAGTGGTTTGAGTCAAAACATTCAAAGTACTTTGATTCCGGAAGTTCCACACATGTGTTTTTCTGACTCTGAAGCCAAAGTAGGAGTGATGGACAGAAGTGAAGAAGAACAAGTAGAAACAGCGTCTGAGAAAGAGCCTGGTCACACCAGTGCAGAGAGTGCTGTGGGGAGAGGATTCCCCGGTGTCCATCATGATGAAAGCAGTCCAGAAGACCGTGATCCTGTGAGTACTGTGCCCCTTCCAAATGAAATACCTTCACCTGGTGAAACAGAAGAAAGAACAACAGGAAAGAAAAAAACCTTTGGGAAACAAAAAAGTAAATCAACTTTGGAAAAGTTCCCAAGACATGAGCTATCAGATTTTGTTGGTGACTGGCCAGTTGATAAGACTATTGGGCAGAGGACAAAAAGGAACCGAAAAACTGAAAAAGCTTCATCTGTACAAAGTGACAAAAAGTATAACCATCCTCAGTCATGCATAGAATTAGAGAATAGTGTATCTGTGAATATAAATTGTATCCAAAAACAAGGATCTCCAAGTGTGGAAGATGGCAGGAAGTCACAGGCTGATAATATTTCAGAGCCACTCAATAGCTATAAATATGATCCTTACAAAAATACTGGAAAGAACTCATTCAGCATTGTGGGCGATTGGCCTTCACCTGATTCTTTAGCTCAGAGAGAGCACAGGTTGAGAATGGCAAAGACTAGTTCAAATGAACACAACCTAGAACTTGGAACAAATGACAACATGAATGAAATATCCTTATACACAGTGCATGAGACCTGTTGGGGCACAAGCCTTGAAAAACTAAGAACATTGGGTGGGTCCAATTTGGAAAGTTCTGAAGTGCCACCCAGGGAAATGGCCTGCGAGAGTCAGAGGCAGCACACGTTACCTCTTTCTTTGACCAGTAGTGCACCCAGTGTTCCTGGAGGAGGAGGACCACGGGCTCCTGCTGAGTTTCTAGAGGGAGGGTCTAGGGGAGTCCCCGGAATAGAACTCGGTGTGTGTACTCAGACTGAACCACGGGATTTTGCTCTATTATGGAAAATTGAAAAGAATAAAATTAGTATTTCAGATTCTATCAAAGTATTGACAGGACGACTAGATGGATTTAAGCCAAAAGTTTTCAGTATCAGCATAAACTCAGATGTTCAAGAAACAATTCCGTATAGGGTGATGTATGATAAAAGCACGTATGTTGAAGAAAGTGAGCTCACCAGTGCAGATGAGTCTGAAAATCTGAACATTCTTTGTAAACTATTTGGATCTGTTTCATTAGAAGCCTTAAAAGACTTGTATGAGAGGTGTAATAAAGATATTATTTGGGCAACAAGCCTTCTGTTGGATTCTGAAACAAAATTATGTGAGGATACTGAGTGTGATAATTTCCAAAAATCTTATGATGAATCACAAATTGGGCCATTTTCTCTGGGGTTGAATTTGAAAGAAATTATTAGCCAAAGAGAAACTGTAGAGGATTCTAATTCTTCTGTGCCAGAGTTTAGCCATGGAATTGGTATTATTAACACTAATGCACAGTCTACCTATGATGCCGAAAAGGAAAACTCAGAACAGGCAGAAATAAGAACTATAATTCCTGAGAAACCTGAATTAATAACAAGTGTATTTCCCAGTGCTGTTGTAGATCTGAAGGATAGCAGTGAAACACTTCCTGACAGCCAGGCAGAACTTTCATACAGTGCTAAGCAGTCTTTTCCAGGTCTCCTCAAAGCTCCTACTCGCAAAGATGTCAGCGAAATGGAGAAAAGTCTAGTGGTCCCAGAGACTGGAGATGATGTGGAGTCTTCCTTAAATTTGTCGGATATTTTAAACTCTGTATCGGGCACTTCAAATCTTGAATTAAATGAGGAAATATATTTTACGGACGCTCTTGAAATAAAGAAAAATGAAAATCTTTCAAAGGATTTTATGAAATTTCCAAACATGGAAGAGTTTATGAAGGAAGATGAACAAGAAATGGAGAAGATTCTAATGGCAGGGAGCAGTTTGTCAGATAGAGTCAGTGAAGAAGACAAAGCTGAGGTGCTGACCCCTGCTCCAGTGATGACCAAGTCTCTAACCATCGACTGTCTGGAATTGGCATTACCACCCGAACTGGCTTTTCAACTCAATGAATTATTTGGCCCTGTTGGTATTGATTCAGGTAAGGAAAAAGTAAATTACCTACATGGGTATTTTCGTGTGAATATATCAGAGAAGATGTATTTGATTATAAAATTATTTCATACTAATGTATATATGATATAAATATGTATAAATTATACATCATACGTAGGCATTATATACACATACATGTATTTACTGAAATGTAAAAGTAATTTATGTTGCTTGACTTCACATAGTATTTTTTTTTTTTTTGAGACCAGAATCTCAAGCTGTTGCCTGGATAGAGTCCTGTGGCGTCACAGCTCACGGCAACCTCAAACTCTTGGGCTTAAGCGATTCTCTTTCCTCAGCCTCTCAAGTAGCTGGGACTACAGGCGCCTGCCACACGCCCAGCCATTTTTGTTGATGTTGTCATTGTGGATTAGCTGGCCCGGACGGGGTTCAAACCAGGCATCTCCAGTGTATGTGTATGTGGCTGGTACCTTACCCACTGAGCTACGGGCACTGCCATAGTATCTTATTTTTGACACAACATGTTTCTAGAGGATTTTTTTTTTAACCTGCCACCCCCAGTGCATGGGGGTGGTGCTCTAACCTCTGACCTACAGGTACCCATCATAGAGGATTTTTTAAAAATGTAATTTGAAGAAAGAATTATTTGAGTTTATTTGTGTTTATTCAATGCATATGTTGAAAGTTTTCTGTTATTTACCTCACTTATTTGTACGGATAAAGCTTTTTTAAATTTTATTTTTATTTATTTATTTTTTTGAGACAGAGTCTTGCTATGTCACCCTCGGTAGAGTGCTGTGGTGTCACAGTTCACAGCAATTTGAAACTCCTGGGCTTACGAGATTCCCTTGCCTCAGCCTCCCAAGTTGCTGGGACTACAGATGCCTACCACAGTGCCTGGCTATTGTTTTGTTGTTGTTGTTGTTGTTGCAGTTGTCATTGTTTAGCTGGCCTGGACTGGGTTTGAACCCACCAGCATGGGTGTATGTGGCCGGCACCCTACCTACTGAGCTATGGATGCTGCCTATTTTTTTTATTTTTTTATTGAGATAGAGTCTTACTTTGTCGCCCTCGGTAGAGTGCCATGGCGTCAGTAGCTTAACAGCAACCTCAAACTCTTGGGCTCAAGTGATTCTCTTGCCTTAGCCTCCTTTGTAGCTAGGACTACAGGCAGCCGCCACAATGCCTGGCTATTTTTTTTGTTTGTTTTAGCAGGCCTGGGCTGGGTTTGAACCCACTACCCCTGGTGCATAGGGCCGGTGCCCTAACCACTGAGCACAGGTGCCCAGCCCAGATAAAGCTTTTGAATCCTTTGGTACTATTTCCTCAGATACATTTAAGCCAAGATTAATTTTTTAGAAAATGCTTACTTAAAAGTCTTTTTTTTTTTTTTTGAGACAGACTCTTACTTTGTTGTCCTTAGCAGAGTGCAGTGGCGTCACAGCTCACAGCAACTTCTAGCTTTTGGGCTTAGGTGATTCTCTTGCCTCTGCCTCCTGAGTAGGCAGGCACCTGCCACAATGCCCAGCTATTTTTTGTTAAAGTTTGGCCAGGGCTGGGTTCGAACCCGCTACACTCTGTATATAGAGTTGGCACCGTACCCACTGCCCAGGGTGCCACCCACTTAGAAGTCTTGACTAATGGAAATAAATATATTTAGGATATATTTAGACTAATGGAAGTGGGTAACTTACATTGATTTATTATGAAGCTTTGTATAGTTGTGCTATTCAGGAAGTGTGAAAACAGTAACAAAGCATATAATATAAAGGCATTTCAAGAGATTCAGTAAATAGAAACAAGTCTGCAATGAATAATATAAGTTAGCTTCATGATATGTAAGATGGTCGTATATTTCCTGCAAATATATAATGAGCAATGATTATATTTTCTTTTCTTTCCCTCTTGCCCCCAGGATCTCTAACCGTTGAGGATTGTGTGGTTCATATAGATCTGAATCTGGCTAAAGTGATTCATGAGAAGTGGAAGGAATCTGTGATGGTTTGTGGGCTTTTTTTACTGAAGAGTCCTGTCTTTGTCCATTTTGTCACCTTTGCTTTTCAATAGAAGCTGCCATGGTGGATGAAGAAGTTCTGTTGAAGTTTGACTTTGAATTTCTACTAGTTAATTGATTACTAATTTTTCCCTCTCTGTCCAGTATTTTAAACATTTCCAGACTGGCCAAATTATGTAATTAGTGATGGAGCTCAAGGGGATTATTGATTTGTTTTTTTAAAGGAAAAGAAAATCATAAACACTGAGCTTTTTATTCCCTCAGACTTCAAGGCTGATTGACTGAATATTAAAAATAGGCTTTTAGGCTCAGCACCCATAGCACAGTGGTTACGGCTCCAGCCACATGCATCAAGGCTGGTGGGTTTGAGCCTAGCCTGGGCCAGCTAAACAACAATGACAGCTGTAACAAGAAAATAGCCAAGTGTTGTAGTGGGGGCCTGTAGTTCCAGCTACTTGGGAAGCTGAGTCAAGAGAATCGCTTAAGCCCAAGAGTTGGAGGTTGCTGTGAGCTGTGACACCGTGGCACTCTACTGAGGGTGAAATGAAACTTATCTCCAAAAAAAAAAAAAAAGTCTTTTAAAAAATGGCAGCATAAGAGCTCTATGAGTGGAAAAAATGTATAGATGTCATATCTTATAATTTTATTTATCTAATTTTATTGTTATATTTAGTAAGAATTATTTATAGTTACATAAGGAGAAGTGATTTCTGTAGAGAAAAGTAACATAACGTTGTAACTTTATTTCCTAACGAACCCCTTCTTTGCCAATCTCTGCCCTGAATTTGTGTTTAGGAGCGACAAAGACAAGAGGAGGTGTCCTGTGGCCAGTTTATGCGAGGTAAAGTGCACACATTCTTACTTTAAATATTGTTGTCTTAATGGTAAAACTTGGTATATATGTTTGAATTTTGACTCATTCTAAATACACTTCCACAACATGTTAGCCACAAATTTTGATTTGCAAATAAAAGGTTTTTTTTTTTTTTTTTTTTTAGACAAAGTCCCACTCTGTTGCCTCAGTTTTTCTATTTTCTTTTTTCAATTTTTGTCTGGGATTGGGTTTGAACCCGCCACCTCCGGCATATGGGGACAGTGCCCTACTCCTTTGAGCCACAGGCGCCGCCCCAGTGTTTCTATTTTTAGTGGAGATGGGGAATTGCTCTTGTTCAGGCTGGTCTTGAACTCCTGACCTCAAGCAGTCTGCCTGCCTTGGCCTCCTAAAGTGCTAGGATTATAGGGATGAAGCACTTCATCAGGCTACGAATAAAAGTTTCTTAAGGCTGGGTGTGGGGGCTCACACCTGTAATCCTAGCACTCTGGGAGGCTGAGGTAGGCAGATGCTTGAGCTCAGGAGTTCTAGGCAAGCCTGAGCAAAAGCGAGACCCCATCTCAAAAAAAAAAAAAAATAGCTGGGCATTATGGTAGGTGCCTGTAGTCTAGCTACGGTGGAAGCTGAGGCAAGAGGATCTCTTGAGCCCAGGAGTTTGGGGTTGCTGTGAGCTACAAAGCCACCGCACTCTACCCAGGGTGAGAAAGCGAGACAATGTCTTAAAAAAAAAACTAACATTTAATGTTCATACAAAGTAAAGCTTGACGGAGGAGAAGAGCCCTGAAATATATATTTGGCTTTCACTAGTGCCCTGGAATACCTAAGATGTATTCTTATACATATAAAGTGTTTCCCATGAAGGTTTTGCTCTGTAGGAAAGAAAACTATTTCAGTTTGCGAGCAGTGGGGTGTTCATGTGTGATAGAGAGCATCGTTGAAATGATTACTCAGGTATTTAAAATTTTATTGATGTCCGTGTTACTAGAGCACAAAAGTCAGCTTGCTTTTTTGGTGTGTTCTGCCAGCTTAAAAATATTTGACTCTAAATAACTCCTCCAAGTGTTGTCTTCAGTGGTTATTACAGATTGGCAGAACCGTTACCAGGGGTCTTCGTTTTGTGCCTGAGTTCCTCCAGATAGATGCCTTTTTCGTCCACTCCCCACTGGGACCAAGGCAAGAGAGCTCCAGGTTGGAAATTTTTAGGATCTTCTTTGGTTGGTTCAGACCTGTGCTCATTGTTCTTTAAGAGCTAAAGCTGTTTGAGAAATAGAGGTGCCCAAAGGGTATCATATGTACACATACCATTGTCAGCTGTTTCTGTACTCCTCAGAACGTGTAGATGCTGAAAGGTAACACATGAAATTCTGTTAGCGTGAACTTCTTAGAATGTTAAAGTTATTTTGAATATCACTTGCTCAGTCTTTACTGTGCCCCTTCACTCAGTTACAGGTTTGCCAAAATACTGACCCTCTCAGTTCTTAGAGTGATGGGCAGAGGTGACCAGGGTTGTTGGAGCTGCTCACTTCCAGCTGGCTGCACTTCCTCTGTTTACCCACATGCGTCCTATCTACATGTCACTGTATTTTGTGTTTTGCTGTGATAAAAAAAAGAGTGGAAAGTCAATTTAAAATGAAACTCACGGCCAGGTGTGGTGGCTCACGCCTGTTGTCCCAGCACTGTGGGAGGCCGAGGCGGGTGGATCACCTGTGCTCAGAGGTTCGAGACCAGCCAAGGCCCCCCTGAGCCAAATGAGCCAGAGTGAGACCTCGTCTCTACAACAGGACAACGAGACAGCCGGACCTTGTGATCCCAGCTCCATGGGGGGCAAGAATACACTACAGGAGGAAGAAGTAATAAAAAAAAATTAAAAAAAAAAAAACCCTTCAAAGTAATAAAGTTGAAATAAAGAAATTAAAAAAAAATAAAATGAAACTCATCATTGTTCATTTCAGATATTCCTTTCTTGAAAATCTGTAAACGTGTATTTTCTAATTTCAAATTGTGTTAGATTTATAAACAGGTACATAAAAAACTGCGTTTCCTTGGTTTCTCTGAGGTGGACAGAACAGTGTGAATGATGTTGAAGTTGTCCATTTATTATTGAAGATCTGAGACTACTCATACTACTACTCTTGCAGATGCTTCCCTAGCTGGACATGCTGGTCTTGATAATCCTGAACAAAAATCGTCTCAGAGAACAGGCAAAAAATTACTGAAGACTTCAGCAGCACCTGAAATGCTACCCTTACTGGATCATTGGAGTACTCAAACTAAAAAAGTATCACTAAGAGAAATAATGTCAGAAGAAATTGCCTTACAGGAAAAACATGATCTGGTTGGTATGAGTTGGTATAAATATTGAGGCGTTGTTCCTGGCTCTAGTTGATTTTATGTGTTTGCTTTGTGATTTTCATTTGCCTCTATATTTCCTAGTCTAGGATCCATGTCTAACCTGATTGAAGTTACTGTAAAAATTGGAAAAATGTTTTTAGGTATAATTCAAATCTGAAGGTTTTTGCTTCTGGGAAAGTAGTTGATAACTCTGTAACAATAAGCCATCCATGTTAAATTTGTGTTTCAGATTTAATTTTGCATGATTGAGCTACATCTTCCTTAGCTTTTATTTTTTACCTCTAAATTTTTACATCTAGAAAATAATGAAATCATTTAAAGATAATTTCATATGTGAATTAGTAATCAATATCTGTGTTACTATTAAAGTTGTGTCTATCTTTGAAACAAAATTTTTTACAGAAAAATTTTAGAAACTTATGAATTTGAATTTAAAAAATTACATATTTTTTTTGGCTTGGCACCTGTGGCTCAAGTGGCTAAGGCACCAGCCACATAACACCTAAGGTGGTGGGTTCAAATCCAGCCCAGGCCTGCCAAACCACAGTGATGGCTGCAACCAAAAAATAGCTGGGTGTTGTGGCGGGCGCCTGTGGTCCCAGCTACTTGGGAGGCAGAGGCAGGAGACTTGCTTGAGCCCAAGAGTTGGAGGTTGCTGTGAGCTGTGATGCCACAGCACTCTACCCAGGCGGATAGCTTGAGGCTCTGTCTCAAAAAAAAAAAAAAAAAGAAAGGAAGCTTCACTTTTCCTTTGAACATAGTTTAGTTTTGTTTCTTATTTCAGCACGTTTAGTTACATTTGAAACCATTAAGTGAAGTTGTTTTCTTTTGCATTTTTTTCTTCTTAATCTTTCTTGGAATTCTGAGCATTAATATTAAATAATTTAAAAATCTTCTTAATCTGAGCAGGGCAATAGGAAGAAAAAAAAGAGGTCAAAATCAAAGGGAAAAAAACCCTCAGCTTACAGGTTGGTTAGTCCAGTTCTCAAGAGAAAAAAATTCTTAGATTGTAGGCTTAAAACATTTTATACTCGTTCCTTTGATTCTATCACTTGGATGTGATAGAATTGAAGCACAAGAAGAATGACAGGATTCTTCCTGTCTTCCTATTACTTATTTTCATAATTATGTTCATTAAACTGGAAATATGCTATCATTCCCATCTTTGCATAATTCAAGGAACAATCTCTTTAGTAGATCTTACAATTTTAGTGTTGTGTCAAATTACCTCTTCAATTAATATATGCCATAATTTGGAGAAATAGATTTTCTTTTTTCTTTCCTTTTTTTTTTGAGACAGAGTCTCAAGCTATCGCCCTGGGTAGAGTGCTGTGACGTCACAGCTCACAGCAACCTCTTGCCTCAGCCTCCCAAGTAGTTGGGACTACAGGTGCCCACCACAACGCCCAGCTGTTTTGGGGTTGTAGTTGTCATTGTTGTTTGGCAGACCCCTGCCAGCTCCAGTGTATGTGGCTGGTGCCCTGGCCACTTAGCTACAGGTGCTGAGCCAAAATAGATTTTCTTAAATAAGGAAGCCTAACACTTAATGCCCAAATGGTATAATACTTTATGTTGTAATGCCATTTTCTACTGCTGAAACTTATCTTTATGGTTTTAACTTGCCTTTAATATCTCAGTATAATAGTGAACAAATGAACATCTTTTGACTTCACAACATAATACATTTTTGTCTATCATTGATTTTTGCTTGTTTTTCCATGGGTTGGATAATAGAAGCTGGATAACTTTGTCCCAAGGATACACTTCTTAACATACATAGCCTCAATAAGAGAATTTCTTGGTACTTTTCCTCACTCTTTGTCCCCCAAGGAGAAATACACTTTGTATATATTTTTTAAAGCAAAGTATGTAAAATAAAATTCACACATAATGTATGAATAATTATAAGATGATCAGGGTAATTTTCAGTTCATTAGACCTCAGAATTTGTCCTTTAGGAAGTATGAACTTACTGTTAGAAAATTGGATTGCGGAATTTTTATAGTAAGCTTAGGTTGTAATACTTATCTTAAGGAAAATGTGAAAAAAATATTAAAATTATGTGTATATTTACTTATTTGTTTAAATTTATTGTATTATTTTTTTGAGAGATGGGATCCTGTTCTGGTGCCCAGGCTGGAGAGCAGTGGCACAATTATAGCTCACTGCATCCTTGAACTCCTGGGCTCAAGTGATCCCCTCGCCTCAGCGTCTCAGGCAGCTGGGGTTGTGGGTTTGTGCCACCATGCCTGGCTGATTTATTTCACTTTATTTTTTTAGAGATATAGTCTTACTTTATTGCTCAGGCTGGTCTCAAATACTCAACCTCTCAACTAGCTGGGATTATAGGCATAAGCCACTGTGACCGTATGAGTGAAATAGTTTCAATTCTTGAGGTGACTTGTTTCCATCACTTCTGTGGTACGTTCAGCTTTATTAGTTCTTTTTACTTGTCATATTGTCACCTAGCGTGGCTCCTCTTTTATTGCTGTTTGGTGTTTCAAATATATTGTTAGGCTTCAAAATAGTAACTGTTCTAGGATTGTTCTAGATTATTATAATTTTTAAATGTAAGAATTTTTAAAATAGGCTTACACCGAAGGTGGCGAGTTCGAACCTGGCCTGGGCCAGCTGCAACAAAAAATAGCCAGGCATTGTGGTAGGCACAGTAGTCCCAGCAACTAGGGAGGCTGAGGCAAGAGAATCACATGAGCCCAAGAGTTTGAGGTTGTTGTGAACTGTGACACCATGGCATTCTACTGAGGGCAACATAGTGAAACTCTTGTCTCAAAAAGAAGGAAAAAAAGAATTTTCAAAGTCATTTATTGCCCTTGAAATTATATAGGAAGTTACTTTTCAGAGGTTAGGGTCTTTGTAACAAACAAAAATTATTCAGTTGCATCATAGTGTTGACAGATTGTCACTTTTTTTTAACCATTATCCTAGGTTAAAATTAAAATAGCATTTTTTTAGGGAAGTTTTTTGGGTCTGGCAATTCAAACAGACAAATGCAAATATGAATTGCAAAACAATAACATAATTCTTATAGATTTATTTTGGAGTAAGTATGTTTGTGAAAATTTAAAAATAATCGTGAATTCTAAGATATTGTGTCAGTCTGAATTTTCCAGCTTATTTGCCGTGGAGGAGAATGTTCTGAGGATGTTGTTCACAGCTTCACAGTGTCTCTTTTTTGTCTCTGATGTTTTTGATCTGCAGTGGATGAATCTGTGACGCCCAGTGTGTTGTGATATTTTTAGACCTTGATAGACCTTGGGTAACTGAGGCACAAGCTCCCTATCTAAAATGGCATAGTATTTGCATATTACTAGTCACAGCCTTACACTTTTATGAGCACCCATGAGAGAAATTTCTGTCAGGTCTCAGTACCAGGAAAAGCTGTGCTTCTGCTGAGCAAACTGGTTTGTTTTTATTTTATGGACACTGAGAATCTTTGTTTCCCCTTTGCTTTGGCTACTAAGAGACTTTAAACATATGGCCCATCTTTACTGATTGTACAGGATTTTGTGGCAGATTTATTCCATATTCTAACCTTTATTTTCACTACTCTCTGGCTTCTTCATTTATTTATATCCTGTGTGTGTGTGTGTGTGTGTGTGTGTGTGTGTATCATTATCCTTTTTATGTGACCAAGTGTGTTGTGTGTGCATGTGAGAGTATTTGTGTGTGTATATATGTATCTATATTTACATGCACATGCACACGTGTATATGTGTGACTGTGTGTATGTATTTATGAACAACTTCAATACCTTGCAAAAATGGGATATAAATAATGCAAGAATACTTAAATTACTAATTTCAGCCTTTAAACAATGAGAAAGTCTGTGATTGCTTTTAAACTATTAGTCTTTTGCAATAAAATAACTATTAGTTATTTTATTTCACAAAATAACCGTGCTTTTGGTGAGCATTGCTAGTATAATAAATTCCATCTTGAGGGTGATTTTTGTATTTTTGTTTTAGAAAAGGGAGACACTTATGTTTGAAAAAGATTGTGCCACTAAACTAAAGGAGAAGCAGCTCTTTAAGATATTTCCAGCCATTAACCAAAATTTCCTGGTGGACATCTTCAAGGACCACAAGTAAGTGCTGGAAGTATTGTCTGTAGTTTCTACTCTGATGTTACTGAAAGCACATGCCATATGTTTTAATCTTTTTGGTTTATTTTTCTGATAACAAAATTAATACAGGTCTACAGTAATTACCCCTTATCCGTGGAGGATATGTTCCAAGGCTCACAGGGGATGCCTGAAATTGCAAATAGTACTGAAGACTGTATGCACGGTGTTTTTTCTTATGCATGTTGTGCCTGTGATGGCTTAATTTATAAAATTAGGCACAGTAAAAGATTAATAATAAAAATAGAGCAATTATAACATTATAGTATAAAAGTTGAATGAATGTGAACGTGGTCTCTCTGTCTCAGAATACAGCTGTCCCTTCGCATCGGGGAGGAGTTGTTGCAGGGCATCTCACTCACCTCACTGACACCAAAATCCATGGATGTACAAGTTCCTTGCCCAAAATGGCATAGTATTTACATATTACTAGTCACAGCCTTACGTATACTTTAAATCACCTGCATGTTACTTACAATACAGGACGATGTAAATGCTGTGTAAATAGTTGTTAGACTTTATTGTTTAGAGAGTAATGACAAGGAAAAAAAGGTACGTAATCAGCATAGACGCAACCATCCATTTTTTTTCTCTGATTTTTTTGATGTATTTTGATATTTAATGAATCGGTGAGGGCCCAGTGTGTTGTAATAGATATATTTTTTGAATTCAATATAAACAGTAGATAATATTTTATTATAAGCATGTCATGCATATATTTTTTTTTCCTCTGAAATTGACATCTACCTGGGTGATGTGAATTTTATCTGGCAACCCTATCCCTGTCTCTTTGCTATCAAGACATCTTTTATCAACCCATTCTCCCCAAGTCAGAATTTCCTACTCTTCCCCCATCATGGCCCAAATGTGAAATACTAGATTCACTCATTGGTTAATAATTACAACTTTTCTGAAATAGACATATAAAACAGATACTCACAGTGACTTTTCCATACTGACAAGAAAATCCCTATCTGCCTATTTCTGGTCAAAACATCACATGTTCCCATTTTATGTAGAAATGGCCAGACATCTCCTCTATTAATTTCTTCTCCTTTTTTTTTTTTTTTTTTACGTATATGTGTGTTTATTAGGTTTCCACTTTTTGCCTTTACAAAATTAAAAAGGCTTAAAATTTAGAAACAATAACAATGTTTAAGATAAGGACTAGAAACAAAACCTCGTGTTGTAATATTTTTTAGACCTTGATAGACCTTGGGTAACTAAAAGCTGAGAAAGTGAAACCTAAGATAAGGGGGAGACCACTGTATTATAAACCATTCACATACAGGGTGCGTGATGTAGCAACGAGCAATGAGCAGTGTGGAGCAGTTCACACGCCTTGTTACCATGTTTTCATTTACAGGCTGATGTGTGTGCAGACGTGTGTGCCTCTATGCTTTTGTGTGTATATATACAGTTGAATTCCACCAAAAAAGAGGTTGTACTTTATGTACTATTTTTTTTTAGTTTTGCTGGTAGATATTTTTCCTCTCCATACATAGTGATCTGCTCTATTGTAAGTTTACGTAGTATTCTGTATTAGAGAAGTACCATAATTTATTTAAACATGTTGGCTCAGCGCCTATAGCGCAACTGGCTAAGGCGCCAGCCACGTACACCTAAGGTGGCGGGTTCAAATCCCCAGCCCGGACCCGCCAAACAACAATGACGGCTGCAACCAAAAAATAGCCGGGCGTTGTGGCGGGCGCCTGTGGTCCCAGCTACTTGGAGGCGGAGGCAGGAGACTCGCTTGAGCCCAGGAGTTGGAGGTTGCTGTGAGCTGTAATGCCACAGCACTCTGCCCAGAGTGACAGCTTGAGGCTCTGTCTCAAAAAAAAAAAAAAAAAAAAAAAAAAAATAAACATGTTTCCATTTGTGGACTTCCTGGCTATAAGAAAAATTGGAAACCATGTTCCAGCGAGCATTTTTGAACATACATCTTTGAGTACCTGGAAGAATACTCAGAGACGAATGGAAGAGTGCTCTTATTCCTAAAGTGAAATTGCTAATTCAGAGTACATAGGTTTAACATTTTAATAGGCAATGCAAAATCCCTTTAATAAAGGCTGTCTGTATTAGTTAGATGTCCTGGCAATATAACCTCCCTGGATATTAGGAATCTTAAAAAATTTTGCCAGTCTGATGGGGAAAATGATTTGTCATTATTTAAATTTACTGTTACTAGTATGAGTGAGGGTTTTTTCTTTTTGTTTTTATTTGTTTGTTTGTTTGTTTTTTGGAGATAGAGTGTCACTTCATTGCCCAAGCTAGAGTGTGATGGTGTCAACCTAGTTCACAGCAACCTCACACTCAAGGGGTTCTCCTGCCTTGGCCTTGCCAGAGTGCTAGGTTTAAGGTGTGAGCTACTGCACCCAGCCCAGATGAGCTTTTTCTATTAATTACTTGCTTTTTGCCTATTCTTTTTCATTTCTATTTCTGTCTGGACTTGTGAAAGCTCTTCCTATATTATGTATGGTAATCTTTGTTAAGATAGATTACAGTTACTTTTCCTGCTGTGACACTTTGCTCTTAACTATGTTTTCTTTCGTCATATGCATGTTTTGATTCAGATGTTTTATTAGAGAATCTTTTTCTTTGTTCTTTCTGGGTTTTATGTTTTATTTAAGAAGTCTGCTTTACTTTGACATTATAAAAATATTTTCTTTATTATTTTTAAGATCTACCTAGCTTTTTTGTATGTATAATATGAGGTAGAGGTTTATAAATGAGATTTATCTTGTTTTTCCGAAAGATTAACTGGATAAATGGATTGTCTTTACCCACTGATATAAAGTGTAATCAGTAATATTTGCTACATTCCCAAATATATATTTTCTTTTGATTAAAGACTAGCTATTTTTTAGGTCCTGAGTTGTAACCATATGGCTTTAGTTATGGTAGTATTATAGTATGTTTTGATGTTTGGTATATTAGAAATGCTCTGGTTTGAATAAGTATGTTTTTGGTCATATATTTTTCTTAAATAGCTATTTTAGTAAGAGTTTGTTTTAAATAGAAACCTTGGTAGGATTTTTTGAATTTCTAATATAGGGTATTTTTTTGTTTGTTTATTAATAATTTTGTAGCAATCATAATAATGGATTTCTGAAATAAAGTCTGCTTTACCTTTAGGTTTTTGTTTTTGACCTCGAAGATTCTGAGATTGTACCTCCTAAGGTAGAGGGTCTTTAGAACCTTTCACGATCTTTTTAAGGTTCTTTATTCAGATTTCTTTCATGAGTCATTTTGGTCGTCTGTCTTTGAAGTTCGTTGTTTTTAAGCCATGTATCATATTTTGTAACTAAAAACTATTTTGCATTTGATCATATCTTTTTTCCTTTCCTAATGTTGCATATTTTATGTTTCCTCTGTTTTGCCTTTTATCAGATTGGTCCTTTTCAAGAACAAACTCTTGGTTTATTGGTCATAGCCTATTATTTTTTATTTTTTTTATTATTTATTTATTTATTTATTTTTGCCTATTTTTTTATGTTCTCTATTTTTACAGACTCCTTTCTTAAAATTTATTAATTTTCAACCCTTTGGTTAGTTTGTTTCAGTGTTTAATAACAAATACATAAAGGTATGGATTTTTTCCTGTATATATTTTTTATCTTGATATATAGTATTTTAATTTTTCTTATTTTCTAAATGATGTCTAATTTCAGTTTATTTTCTATTAACCAAGAGTTTCTAGTTTTCTAAACAGTTTGATGGCTTTGGTAGTATTGGAAGATTATTGTTTATTTTATTTTATTGTATAGGGGTATAAGAATGTGGCCTTGGCTCGGCGCCTGTGGCTCAAGTGGCTAAGGTGCCAGCCACATACACCTAAGGTGGCGGGTTCGAATCCAGCCCGGGCCCACCAAACAACAATAATGGCTGCAAAAAAAAAAGACCCGGGCGTTGTGGCGGGCGCCTGTGGTCCCAGCTACTTGGGAGGCTGAGGCAGGAGACTCACTTGAGCCCAGGAGTTGGAGGTTGCTGTGAGCTGTGATGCTGTGAGCTATGATGCCATGGCACTCTACCCAGGGGGACAGCTTGAGGCTCTGTCTCTAAAAGAAAAAAAAAAAAAGAATGTGGCCTAGAAGAGTTCTGTTTTCTGGAATTTGATGTTTTCCTTGTGCTTTAATACATAATTACTTTTTACAAATGTTATGAAAGTACAGGTTGAGCATTCCAAATCCAGAAATCTGAAGTCCAAAATGCTCCAAAATCTGAAACTTTTTGAGCACCAACATAATACCAACAAAAGAAAATCCCACACCTGACACCTGTGCTTTCTGATACTCATTGTACACATACTGTTTCATGTAGAAAATTATTAAAAATATTGGATAAAATTATCTTCAGCCTGTGTGTAGAAGGCACATATGAAATATAAATGAATTTCATGTTAAGATTTGGGTCTTGGCTCGGTCCTTGTGGCTCAAGGGGCTAAGGGACCAGCCATATACACCTGAGCTGCTGAGTTCGAATCCAGCCCGGGCCTGCCAAACAACAATGATGACTGCAGCCAAAAATAGCCGGGCGTTGTGGCGGGCGCCTGTGGTCCCAGCTACTTGGGAGGCAGAGGCAGGAGAATCACTTGAGCCTAGGAGTTGGAGGTTGCTGTGAGCTGTGATGCCATAGCACTCTACCTAGGGTGACAGCTTGAGGCTCTATCTCAAAAAAAAAAGATTTGAGTCTCATCCCTAAGATATCTCATTATACAAAGTCTAATTATGCAAATATTTCAAAATTTGAAAGTATCCAAAATTTGAAACACTTTTTTTTGGATAAAGGATACTCAACTTGTTCTTTTGAATAGCATATTCAATCTCTATTTTTAAATATATCACTTAAATCAAGGTGGGTATTTTTTTTTTTTTTTTGCCTTGATAGAGTGCCATGGTGTCATAGCTTACAGCAACCTCAAAGTCTTGAGCTCAAGGGATTCTTTTGCCTCAGCTTCCCAAGTAGTTAGGACTACAGGTGCCCACCACAGCGCCCAGCTATTTTTAGAGATGAGATCTTGTTCTGGCTCAAGCTAGTCTTGAACCTGTGAGCTCAGGCAATCCACCTGCCTTGGCCTCCCAGAGTTGCTACGATTACAAGCGTGAGTCACTGTGCCTCGCCTTAAATCAAAATTTTAATGATAATTATTCCAATCTATAATTTCCTTGTTGATTTTTGTCTGGTAGTTTTTATAGAATTATGTGCTAAATTCTTCTAAAAGCTGGGGGCTAGGGGAAGGCGCTGGCGTATGGCCACTGTGTTCTGGGGGCCTAGGGTTAGAGGGCTTGAGGTGAAACGGCCCAGAGTCGTGCTCCTCCAACAAGGGGAGAGGGCTGGGTGAATCCTTTCTGCAAATGGCCAGAGTGATCGGTCAGTCAGGTACCTTAGGGTAGATAGTTGATTGCCTCCTTTGTCTGCGAACAGCAGGATGATTCTCCTCTGAGAGCAGTAGTTTCAAGTGCATCCTGGAGGGAGGTGGGCTCAGTTACTGCAGTCAGTGCTTGAGGCGTTGTCCTCTGGGCTGCAACCCTCAAACACACACCCGAGGTTGATGGAGACGGATTTCCAGCCCTGTAAGTGGGTGGGTGGTTTTAGAAAGGATATGGTTATTGGTAATGGCACCTACCCTCCAGAGTGCTGTCTGTGGTGGGAGGGCTAACATAGAACTGTGGTCCCAAATAGCGTCCCTTCAAGGGTTGTGTTTAATAAATGGAAGACTAGCCAAATACTGCCCTATTTTAGAATATGTAGTTACCACTTTTCAGAAGATATTCCTATGTGGTCACCTCTTCAGTATCTGGCCAATGGGAGAGATGAGTGTCATAAATAGTATGAAATAATGAGCAGTGTGAAGTCATTTATGATTTTCTTCAAATTTTAGAACGTGAGTATATCAGATGTTTGTCAATTTGTAGAATTTCCTACAATGTAGGATCACCTTGAAAACATGGCTTTTTTGTATATCAGATGTTTGTCAATTTGTAGAATTTCCTACAATGTGGGAAGTCATTTATGATTTTGTAGAATTTCCTACAAAGTGTGAAGTCATTTATGATTTTCTTCAAATTTTAGAACGTGAGTATATCAGATGTTTGTCAATTTGTAGAATTTCCTACAATGTAGGATCACCTTGAAAACATGGCTTTTTTGTATATCAGATGTTTGTCAATTTGTAGAATTTCCTACAATGTAGGATCACCTTGAAAACATGTAGGAGAGGTAGGATAATTTCACTTTTTATATTCTGTGTCCCTGCTTAGACCTTCTTGGACTAGAATCCCATGGCATAAATAAAAGTGCATTTGACACAATAAAAATGTCAGCTTTAAAGGTTTATTATCTATGTTTGAGGGAAACTAGAGCCATGTGTGAATTTAGCTATTAAGAATATATGATAAAAATGGAAGAAAGATTCGTTGTGGATAATTCACCTGGAATAAAAGATCAGAAGTTGGCAGCACCTGTCGCTCAGTGGTTAGGGAGCCAGCCACATAAAGTAGGCCTGGCAGGTTCCAACCCAGCCCGGGCCTGCTAAACAACAATGACAACTGCAACAATAACAACAACAAAGTAGCCGGGTGTTGTGGTGGGTGCCTGTAGTCCCAGCTACTTGGGAGGCTGAGGCAAGAGGATTGCTTAGGCCCAAGATTTGGAGGCTGCTGTGAGCTGTGATGCCATAGCACTCTACTGAGGATGACATAGTGAGACTATGTCTCAGAAAAAAAAAATAAGAAATTGAATTACCATTGTTACCTTGGTATTCATTTTTTGAAAATTAATTTGATATACAATGAGCATTTAATTTCAGTGTTTTCAATATTCTTATAAAATGTTTGAAAATTGCTTAAGGTCTCCACATAACTTTTATTTTCATTTATTGATAGTATGTTTGTACTTATACTTCCTGCAGTTATTCATTGGAACACACAGTGCAGTTTCTAAACTGTGTTCTTGAAGGGGACCCTGTGAAAACAGTTATAGCACAGGAGTTTGTTCACCAAAATGAAAATGTCTCTTCTCATACTGCCCAGAAGTCTAAAGAGAAAAAGGTATGGGATTACTTATTTTTCCCTATAGTGGTAGGTGTTTGTGTATAAAAATATAATTTGTTTGTTGCATACAAAAACTTAATCATTGTTTCTCATCATTTTGACTAGATTAAAATTTTAACCACCAGTGGCATATCTGGTTTAGAATGTCTAGGCACTCAGAATAATGAATTTATACCTGATTTTTTTCTTCAGTGTGAATGACAAGCATTTGAATTTCTGCAATTTCTGAACTCTGCTGCTTAATTGAATAGCCTTTTTGAAAAAGTGTCATACTTTTTTCCAAAGTGGCTGTACCATTTTACATTTACATGAGAAATGTATGAGGGTTCCAATTTCTCTAAATCTTCCCTGAAACTTGTTCTTTTTGATTATGTCTATCCTAGAGGGTGCACAGTTGTTTTAAGGATACCCAGGATTTGTTTTAATCAGGTACAATAAGACATGCAGAAATGTCATAAAGGAGGAAGTTTATTATACTCACAGATTCCCTAGAAACAGGAGGTGTGGCTCACCATCAGCACCGCGCAGGGAGGCAGGGTAGGTCAGGAGGTGAAGGAGTTGGGGCGGAAATGTGGGCAAAAGTCCTTATTATGGTTTCTATAGGAAGGAATGGGCAAGGCAGGATAAGCAGGTTTAGGATTGGCTAGTTTAAATAGTTTTAGCTGACTCTGGAGCACAGAAGCTGCCCTAAGTTGTCTAATACTTGGCCCTAGAGTGATTAGGGTAGGGATGGTGGCCTGGAGTATAAGAGCCCCATAAAGCAGGTTGCTCTGAATTGGTTGGTTTGTAAATGAAAGATGTGCTGGCAGGAACAGTTAGGGATTGTGTCTAGGAATTGGTTAACCTTGGAGGATTAGCAGGGGTGGAAGGAGGTGAGGAAGCAGTCAACAGGGAGAATCTGGGTTTCATATGCATTTTTTGAAGATAAGGCAGGGGAGGGGGTTTACTTTCTTTGTAATTGCTTTATTTTTTTCTGAGACAGAGTCTCACTTGTCACCCTGAGTAGAGTGCCATGGCGTCACAGCTCACAACAACCTCTAACTCTTGGGCTCAAGCAATTCTCTTGCCTCAGCCTCCCAAGTAGCTGGGACTACAGATGCCTGCCACAACGCCCGGCTGTGTTTAAGAGACAGAATTTCATTCTGGCTCAGGCTGGTCTTGAACCTGTGAGCTCAGGATATCCTCCTGCTTCAGCCTCCCAGAGTACTAGGATTTACAGGTGTGAGCCACGGTGCCTGGCCTTGTAACTGCTTTTGGTGTAACATTTTATAGGCAAAGAAACTGAAAGATACTGAAGAGACCCCAAGCGAACCATGTTTCCAGGATTTTGAGTACCCGGAGTATGATGACTACCGGGCAGAAGCTTTCCTGCACCAGCAGAAGAGGATGGAGTGCTACAGCAAGGCAAAGGAAGCTTATCGGATGGGGAAGAAAAACGTGGCCACCTTTTATGCCCAGCAGGTGAAGTGGAAAGATGATGATGATTTTTTTTCTTTGTCAATTAAAATATCTAAATAATCTTGGAGCAGATAACACTACCTGGATTGTGACAAGATTGTTATTCTGGGGAATGTAGTGATTACGTACGTTATAAAACTAAGGTATCGTGATACCTAAGAGGTGTATTGTTCTGAGAGTTTTATCTCCTTTGAAATGCTCAGTTTCTGTGGTTGCTTTTGCATTTACAGCTTCCCTAAACTAGAGTCTATTCTGACTGTCTGTACTTTCTTTTAGGGAAGAGTCTGTCATTCAGTGCTACTTCTAAACAGATAACAAATTTTCTAGAGGGCAGGCAGCAGAATGTTAACAGTTGGTCATCTCAGGCTGGGATTATAAGGATTTTGTGCTTTTTGTTATGTTTGAATTTTTACTAATGTATCACTTTTATAGTCAGAAAAAGAAAATGACATTAAGGCTGGCCCTCCTGTCTCCAGATTGGGGTGGGTGGGGATGAGGAAGGGATACCTGGAGCTGCTGCAGCCACTTGTCACCACGAGGAAAGGTGATAGCAAAGAAGGAGAGAGGCGAAACACAAAGCACCAGGTCTTTAAAGGCCGAGAGAGGACTCTGGCCCCAGGAGAATGGTCAGCAGCAAAATATACGCCTTACAGCAGATTCAAATCGGCAAAACTCTACTAAGCACTTAGTTTACCAGCCGCGCAGGGAGGTCACCACGGAGAAGTGCAAAGGCCCAGCTGTCACACGGTGGGTGGAGTGGAGTGGTGGTAACTAAAAAAAAAAAAAAAGAAAATGACATTACTATTTTTCAGGGAAGTAGAATTTTTACCTAGACTTAGTTGACGTGGTATTAGAAAAAACCCTGCTGCTTGATTCATTTTTTATTTTTTGTGGTTCCATATGGCTTACTTCTTCACATTGGAGCAAAGAAGGGTGTCTAAAAGCAGATCCCTAACAGCAGATCTTGGGGATGGTTTCAAGGCTTATTACAAGATGTTGAAAGGGAATGCCAAGACGAGGCCCAAGATTTTCAAAAGATACACAGATAATAAACCAGTGAGTTCCTTCTTGAGATGGTGTAATAGTCAGAATTCTTCAAAGGGGCAGAACCAGTAGGGGATTTATTAGGGTGTATTGCTTACCCTAATGATCATAGAAATGATCACAGAGGGGGAGAAGTCCCGCAGCAGCTGTCTGCAAGATGGAGAGCCAGAGAAGAAGAGAGCATGGCTCAGTCCAAGTCCAGAGCGTCAGGACCAGGGAAACCGGCAGTGCAGCTCCCAGTCTCCCAGTCTGAGGCCCAAGAACCAACAGGAGGCATCTGGTGAGACTCCCATAGTCCAGATGCTGAAGTCTGATGTCCAAAGGCAGGAAGAGAAAAGCGTCCTGCTCTGGAAAGAAGAGAAAACAGAGAGAGAGCAGTCTTGGGCCAGCTGAGCCTCCCCTCGATTGGAGGGTGCTTGCTTATGTGGAGGCCAGGACTTCCTTTCTTAGTCCACTGACTCACACGTCGGTCTCCTCCAGAAACGGCCTCACAGACAAAACAACGCTTCGCCCATGTCTAGGCATCTCTCCGTTCAGTAGAGTTGATACCTGAAGTTAACCATCCCAGATGGGAGTGTTCCGTTAAGTTTCTCTCTTCTGTGATTTTTGGTACAGAAAATGTTAGAAGCAGTGATTGAGTAATTTAAGAACTGAATTATTTAATTCACTGAAATTAACCTAGATTTTGATGGATTACCTAGATGTATTAGCCCGTTGCATTGTTTAAAATTTTAGATTTACTGTTATGTTTTTTCTTCTGCCTTTATTTGGGCACTACTATTTCCTCATTGCCTACATAGCAAACATCTAAGGTGTCAGTGGGTGCTGTGTCTGTAATTAAAGGGTGGTCTTCATGAGCAGAAGATGAAAGAAGCCAATCACCTTGCTGCCGTGGAGATCTTTGAGAAAGTCAATGCCTCGCTGCTGCCACAGAATGTTCTAGACCTCCATGGGCTGCATGTGGATGAAGCTATAGAACATTTGATGGCAGTTTTACAGCAGAAAACTGAAGGTAAGACCACAGTAATGTCAACTTTCAATATTAGATATATATATATTTTAAAAATTATACATATATATTTATAAAATATATATATATATTTTGGTTATGTTGGTGTAACTTGCAAATTCAGGAGTGTCTGACTAGATAGGGCAGTGGTTTTCAACCTTCCTAATGCTGGGACCCTTTAATACAGTTCCTCATGTTGTGGAGACCCCCAACCATAAAATTATTTTCCTTGCTACTTTGTAACTGTAATTTTGCTAATGTTATGAATCATTATGTAAATATCTGATACTAGGTGACCCCTGTGAAAGGGTCATTCAACCCCAAAAGGGGTTGCGACCTGCAGGTTGAGAACTGTTAAGATAGGGTGACCCTGTCTGGGTCAAGTTTATAGATGTTGGCATTAGTTATTCTTTAAGAAAACTTGCTAGCCTGGGCAATGTAGTGAGACCCTGACTTCACAAAAAATAAAATTAGCTGGATATGGTGGTGGACACCTGTAGGTCCAGCTACCCAGGAGGCTGAGGCAGTAGCAGTGCTAGAGCCCAGGAGTTGAAGATGATAGTGACCTGTGTGGTCATGCTACTGTAGTTGAGCTTGGGCAACATAGTGAGACTCTCTCAAAAAAGAAAAAGGCTGGCTGGCTTCCTTCCTTTCCTTTCCCTCTCTCTCTCTCTTTCTCTCTCTCTCTCCTTCCTATTTTTTTTTTTTTT